TATATACATGTAATTACCGTCGCAAACACCAAAAATAAGAATCCCGCGTCCATGTTTGGCGCTGAGTGGGTTGTATTGCGTTGCCGTAATTCTTGCAGATTTTTTCCAACCCGAACGGGCACATAATCCAGCGCATGGCCGGCTTTGGTAACAAGGCTGAGAAAGTGTCTGTGCACCCGGCGGTAATCACGTAGGTTTTGCCGCAATCAACTGTCCTGAACAGAACCGACTTCACGTTCGTCTTCTACATGGGTCCCAACGGCTGTATATAACTCAAAAGTGGGCTATTCATGTATCGTGTCGGTTGGCACGTTTCCGAACGCCAACGGATGTTTTAATAGGCGCGTGCATCACACCGATAACCTGGAGCGCGCCATCCAGAAGGTCTCTCGACACATCGAGTGACTCATGCGTGAGTATGACATTAACATGACTTATCACGGTGACGGCCGGGAAATTTGCGAGGGAAACACCCAAGCTTTACGTGTGGTTTCCCGACGCATTCCGTCAAGCACCTTCTCAGGCACGGCGGCACGTGCACGCCAAATCTCACGTATCATCCGGCAGTTCATCTGAAGATGAGAAATCCGTTGTAAATGACAGTGATTTTGTGCTACAAACCTCAAAATATCACCAAACGGTGGACACCCCGACTGGCACTTGCATATGCACCTGTTAATTACCTATGTAGCTACCCTACGGACACTTATTCTCGGCTTTCACATGCCGGTCGTTGCTTGCAGTATGTTAGGNTCGGCATTCACAGGCCGGTCGTTGCTTGCAGTATGTTAGGTAGGTGGGTGGGTAGATTTACAACAAAGTCACTGAGCCATAAAAGGCTACTAGCTGCATGAAGTATCCTATTGTACAAACGCATTTGATTTTGCATCAACGCTCAAACATTACGCTGGACAATCGACCTCCGGTATTGGATGACCACCGCCATTAACTAGACTGCTTTCTGCGCTGAAAGACGATGTCCGCTGTGGTCTCTGTGACCAGCCGACTAACCATTCTGATTGCTGATGTCTGCGAGATCGAAAACCAAATCTCTATTATTGCTGTGGTTTGGAGCCCCTCCAGTCGTGTGGAGAGGATCTTCAAATGCGTTCGCAGGGTGGGTGCCCACCTAGCAATTGAACTACTTCCTTTAGTCGTTGGTTTGTCGCTGACGCGCAACCTCCCGTCCATCTGGCGTTCAGCTGGAAGAGCAAGCTTTAAAGTCGATCTCGGTTGGTCCATGGAAGTTCAGACGAGCGTGGCCTGTAAGGCTGCTTAATTTCGGTGCAGACGAAGACTTAGAATTTGAGGCCTAATTACAAGCACACGCTTTGAAGATCTTGCTTTTGAATTCCAAAATGACAAGAATTTTCTCAAATATTTCATGACTTGAACTCCGAGGCCCTATTCAGGACCACATTTAACCAGCTAACTGCAACAATTGCAAGATTTCACCCAACGTTGTTAGATACAAATCTCCCCAAAAGGCTGCTTGAATGACTGCCCCGTTTACCTCCCTCTAGCTTCAGATTGCCTTGCGGCAAATAGTGATTCACAGAATCCGGACAATCGCCACTGAGTAGGCATCGATCCTTCATCGGCGAGAGATTAAGAACATCGTGGTTCTAATGTACGAAAAAGATAGGTGCCTCCGGCTAACCGAGCTTGAAAACCAGACCACTGAAAACTAGATCAGAAAGGCCTAGTCAAGTTACAAATTTGGTGTCCGCGAAATGCAAAGCGTTATGGAAATTACCCACATTTCATTATTCTGTTAAAATGCGACAAACGCTTTCTGTTCAGCGCACGCTGCTTGCATGATGCGATTAAAACGAAAATTTTTCGTAGAAATGACTGTGGTATACAGTGTCTGTCAGTTTGACTGATTCATATGTAAGTATTGGTGATGTACAACGTTGCTTACTGGGCTTTGGCTCATTAGCTTTGTTTCTGTTTTCCATCCACAGAAATTGTCGTGAACACCTGCCTTCGGAGAATCACTGTCCACTGGTGCATCCATAGCGTGCATATTACAATGACCAATAAAAGCACGCAACCTAAGAATGAATGACTTGTAAGATTGCTAAAGAGTGAAACACTGCATGGTTCCTGAAAGTTTGTCAATTCACCGTTACCCCACCGCATACCCGTAAAAATCAAAATTAGTGGGTTGGCGTCTAGTTCGGATACCAACCCAAAGAATAACTACTGATCCAATCCATTCAGACGGTATAAATATGGTAACGAATGGTCAGAGATTTGTTGAACCTGCAGTAAAGCTGCAAATGCGCGAGCTCACTATCGAACATCAGTGTTGGGGCCCTTTAGCCACACAACGCTGTTAACTGCAATGCGTCTGCCGGTGGAAAAAAACATTTCGCTGAAACTATATGCTTGTTATCCGCACAATGCACTCAGCGCAAAACCTTCATAAGTTGCGCAGAACGACCTAGACCAAGATGTTGCAATTGGTTGTATAATTTGGTTTCGTATTTTTGCAGCTCGCCAAACTCCATTATTCACTGAAGGGAGCGTGCCTCCCGCTAAAAGTCTTGTGAGATGATTTCCCAGCATCTCTGAGACCCCGGGATGCCTAAATATGGCTTAAAGGTTTAAACTGGTGCTCCCAACTCAACTGCCCGATTGCATTATTCCATCGGGGACACGTCATGACTTTCGAAAATTCAGTTTCATTGTACGAATACTGAGCGCCCTCAAATTACAATCCACCCGAGTCTAGTTCAGACTTTAGCAGGTCACCTATTTTCATTGTCCACTGAAGCAGGCATATCTCTGGTAGGAAGATCTGGTCGAATATTTTCCTAGCATCGCTTGGACCCCGGTATGCTTCGATGGGACTCAAAAGCTTGGACTGGTACCCTGAACCCAACCGCCTGCTGGATTTGGTCCCTCAGGGACGAGTCATGTCTTTCGGAAATTCTATTCCGTTGTTCGAGTTACTCGTTCCGAAACTGTGAGAATTATGGGATATTTTTTCATTTTAGTCTAAGAGCAGGAGGCCATGCCGCTGGCTATTCGCACAATGAGTCATGTCTGAAATTCTATTCCGTTGTTCGAGTTACTCGTTCCGAAACTGTGAGAATTATGGGATATTTTTTCATTTTAGTCTAAGAGCGAGCAGCCATGCCGCTGGCTATTCGCACAATGAGATTGATTTCTCGAAATCTACGGCATTTTCAGACTTGCCACTTCATAGTGTAGAATGTCTATGTATAAGGTACATGCTCCTGTATTATTGAAAATCCTTTACTATGGCGATTTGTTTAAGTGAACTAAATCTGCAGGTGAATAAATACCGCCGACTTTGAATACCTTAACGGATGAAAAAATCGCGAATTGTGGAAAAGGTTGACTCACATACAATGAACGTAACTTTCA